CGTGTTTTTTTTGTCTCTCCCTTTTGAACATATCCAGAAAATAAAAACACGTGAAACTCTGACTGACTTGCATAACCTCATCATCTTTGGGCAACATTTTAGAAACTATTTGATAACCAGTTCATTCTTAATAGCAATCTAACGAGCAGAATTGCCAAACATTTCCCACTTCCAGATTCTAAATATATGCAGCTTTTCTCAGTTTTGAAATGTGTATGGCTGTATGTTTAACACCTTCGTCTCCTCTCTCTTCTGTTTCTCCTTCTAAGCTGATGGGCAGCCTGGAGGAAGTCCACATGCCTCAGAATGGCATTAACCACGCCGGAGTGATGGCGTTAGCTTCAGCCATGAGACACAACCCGGATCTGCGCGTCCTCAACCTGAACGACAACACCTTCACCAAGAGGGGAACCATCGCCATGGCCCAGGTGAGTCGTCCACACTTACCTATACCCAGAGGTGGAAGTAGTGGAGTACAAACACTTCGTTACTGTACTAAACCCTAAGTACATTGTTCTGGTATCAGTACTTTACTCCACTACTTATGATGACTTTGAACTTTCTACTTCTTACATGTTGAACACAAATACCTGTACTTTCTACTTCTTACATGTTGAACACAAATACCTGTACTTTCTACTTCTTACATGTTGAACACAAATACCTGTACTTTCTACTTCTTACATGTTGAACACAAATACCTGTACTTTCTACTTCTTACATGTTGAACTCAAATACCTGTACTTTCTACTTCTTACATGTTGAACACAAATACCTGTACTTTCTACTTCTTACATGTTGAACACAAATACCTGTACTTTCTACTTCTTGCATGTTGAACTCAAATACCTGTACTTTCTACTTCTTACATGTTGAACACAAATACCTGTACTTTCTACTTCTCACATGTTGAACCCAAATACCTGTACTTTCTACTTCTTACATGTTGAACCCAAATACCTGTACTTTCTACTTCTTACATGTTGAACCCAAATACCTGTACTTTCTACTTCTTACATGTTGAACTCAAATACCTGTACTTTCTACTTCTTACATGTTGAACACAAATACCTGTACTTTCTACTTCTTACATGTTGAACACAAATACCTGTACTTTCTACTTCTTACATGTTGAACACAAATACCTGTACTTTCTACTTCTTACATGTTGAACTCAAATACCTGTACTTTCTACTTCTTACATGTTGAACTCAAATACCTGTACTTTCTACTTCTTACATGTTGAACTCAAATACCTGTACTTTCTACTTCTCACATGTTGAACACAAATACCTGTACTTTCTACTTCTTACATGTTGAACTCAAATACCTGAACTTTCTACTTCTTACATGTTGAACTCAAATACCTGTACTTTCTACTTCTTACATGTTGAACCCAAATACCTGTACTTTCTACTTCTTGCATGTTGAACTCAAATACCTGTACTTTCTACTTCTTACATGTTGAACTCAAATACCTGTACTTTCTACTTCTTACATGTTGAACACAAATACCTGTACTTTGTACTTCTTACATGTTGAACTCAAATACCTGTACTTTCTACTTCTTACATGTTGAACACAAATACCTGTACTTTCTACTTCTCACATGTTGAACTCAAATACCTGTACTTTCTACTTCTTACATGTTGAACACAAATACCTGTACTTTCTACTTCTCACATTGAACTCAAATACCTGTACTTTCTACTTCTTACATGTTGAACTCAAATACCTGTACTTTCTACTTCTCACATGTTGAACTCAAATACCTGTACTTTCTACTTCTTACATGTTGAACTCAAATACCTGTACTTTCTACTTCTCTCATGTTGAACTCAAATACCTGTACTTTGTACTTCTTATATGTTGAACACAAATACCTATACTTTCTACTTCTTACATGTTGAACTCAAATACCTGTACTTTCTACTTCTTACATGTTGAACACAAATACCTGTACTTTCTACTTCTTACATGTTGAACCCAAATACCTGTACTTTCTACTTCTTACATGTTGAACTCAAATACCTGTACTTTCTACTTCTTACATGTTGAACTCAAATACCTGTACTTTCTACTTCTCACATGTTGAACTCAAATACCTGTACTTTCTACTTCTTACATGTTGAACTCAAATACCTGTACTTTCTACTTCTTACATGTTGAACTCAAATACCTGTACTTTCTACTTCTCACATGTTGAACTCAAATACCTGTACTTTCTACTTCTTACATGTTGAACTCAAATACCTGTACTTTCTACTTCTCTACATGTTGAACTCAAATACCTGTACTTTCTACTTCTCACATGTTGAACTCAAATACCTGTACTTTCTACTTCTACATGTTGAACTCAAATACCTGTACTTTCTACTTCTCTACATGTTGAACTACAAATACCTGTAAACTGTTTCTACTTCTCTCATGTTTGAACTCAAATACCTGTACTTTCTACTTCTCACATGTTGAACTCAAATACCTGTACTTTCTACTTCTTACATGTTGAACTCAAATACCTGTACTTTCTACTTCTTACATGTTTGAACTCAAATACCTGTACTTTCTACTTCTTACATGTTGAACCCAAATACCTGTACTTTCTACTTCTTACATGTTGAACACAAATACCTGTACTTTCTACTTCTCACATGTTGAACTCAAATACCTGTACTTTCTACTTCCTTACATGTTGAACACAAATACCTGTACTTTCTACTTCTTACATGTTGAACTCAAATACCTGTACTTTCTACTTCTTACATGTTGAACTCAAATACCTGTACTTTCTACTTCTTACATGTTGAACTCAAATACTTGTACTTTCTACTTCTCTCATTTCCCAAACAGCTGGTTCCTTTAGTCTGAATGTGTGTTTGATGCGTGATCATTATTCTTTAGAGTCATTGCGTGCCTATTGATTTGAACACGATCCGTGTATCCATCATTTCCTGGTCTTCTCTAAAGAAGAGGGACCAATGGAAACGTTGTCATGTTGCCGTTGTTCAGCATGGAAACATTCATTAGCTAACAATGACATTATTGTTCTATTCATATAAAGGGAGGTCAGGTACTCTTTAAAGCAGCTGCTAGCTATGGGTACTTTTTACTGAAGTACATTTCAAAGCCTCTTTACTTTGACTTGAGTAAAGAAGTCAGTACTTCTACTTTCACCAGAGTATTTTTAAACACGAGTATCTGTACTTCTACTTGAAGAAAGGATGTGTGTACTGCAGCCATCTCTGCCTAGAGTAGATATTTAGCCAGTGTTTTTGACTGAAACTGTAATTCCCCCTGTCCTCCCTCAGGCTCTGAGGCACCTGAGGAACGTTCAGGTGATAAACTTTGGAGACTGTCTGGTCCGCTCTGAAGGAGCCATCGCCCTCGCTGCCGTCCTCCGAGAGGGACTGCCCGTCCTCAAGGTCAGTTCACCAAAAAGACCTCAGCATTTGTAAATGTCTGCTCTGTGAACAGGTAGATTAAAGTGCTTTCTCATGTTCCCGGTGTTCAGGAGATCAATCTGTCGTTCGGTGAGATCACGGAAGCAGCTGCTCTGGTTGTGGCTCAGGCCGTCAGAGACAAACCTGATATGGAGAAAGTGGATCTGAACGGTACGAACTCTGACCGTCAGGAGTCGCATGATAACAGAGCTCCTACTCTGCCTTATTAGACCCCATCATCATTTTTGTTGCAAGGGGCTAACTTCCATTACAGAAAATATTTGTTATCGTCCCTTAAGATTTCTACCTTTTTAATACATATTTATTATCAATTAATTAATTAAAGTTTTTCCCACGACGGGACACCCTTAAGTTCATATGGCCGTGAAAATCTGTGGCTTAGTGGGATAGTGTGCTGAACTTTGAATCAGGGGGTAGCAAGTTCGAGTCCCACTGCAGTCAGCATGTCGTTGTGTCCCTGAGACACTTCCCCCAAAGTGCTCCTGTGGGGATCGTCCTCAGTACTAAGTCGCTTTGGATAAAAGGGTCTAACAAGTGTGTGTGTGTGTGTGTGTGTGTGTGTGTGTGTGTGTGTGTGTGTGTGTGTGTGTGTGTGTGTGTGTGTGTGTGTGTGTGTGTGTGTGTGTGTGTGTGTGTGTGTGTGTGTGTGTGTGTGTGTGTGTGTGTGTGTGTGTGTGTGTGTGTGTGTGTGTGTGTGTGTGTGTGTGTGTGTGTGTGTGTGTGTGTGTGTGTGTGTGTGTGTGTGTGTGTGTGTGTGTGTGTGTGTGTGTGTGTGTGTGTGGTGTGTGTGTGGTGTGTGTGTGTGTGTGTGTGTGTGTGTGTGTGTGTGTGTGTGGTGTAACCAGGTAACTGTCTGGGAGAGGAGGGCTGTGACGCTCTGAGGGAAGCTATGGAGAAAGGAGACATGCTGGGGTCACTCAGGTAGTGTGTGTGTGTGTGTGTGTGTGTGTGTGTGTGTGTGCTGAAGCTATTTTCCTATTACTTTTCTTGAAAAACTTGAGTCAGCTGAATTATGCTTTTGTTGACTTACTGTAGTGATGATGAAGGAGAGCCTGAGGACGAAGATGATGATCAAGACGACCATGAAAACGAGGAGGAGGAGAATGATGATGATGATGATGATGATGCCAGTGACGACTGCAATGAGGACGGAGAAATCCTGAAGGAAAACGGAACAACGAAAAAAGACGATAGTCCAGAAAAACCTCAGAGCTCAGTAAGAAGACACAAACTACATCCTGCCATCGTTTCCATGTGTATTTTAACAGCTTCGCTTGAACAATAAAGCTATTCTCGTCTAGTGAAAGAGAGGTGAAGGCATGAGTCCTAAATCCCAGGAAGGAGTCAGCATTTTAACACTTTTGGTTTGCTTTTTCTCAAAGTCAATGGTATTTAGAATGTGTTTTTTGGCTACATGCCTGAAATGAGATCTGTGGTTAACACAAGCTTACAACACAGGGGGTCCGCGGGGTCTTAACAAGTATTACAAGTTGATCAATCAATTTAGCGAAAATTAAGGCTATTAAAAAGTATTAAACGGCATTCTCCAAGGTATTACATTTTGTAGCTTGTTTTCAATAAGTATATAAATGGTCCAAAGAGGTTGTGTTCTACAGTCTGCCTGAATGTAATCATGGCGTAGGTGTGTAGTGTGATTCTGTGTAGTTTATTGATGGCATCCCGTTGGGTTTGACGTCATCTGAACAGGACATCGCACGCTCACTGCTTGATAGCGCGAAGCTCCGTTTACGCCGGTTGCTAAGCAACATCGTTATGGGGAAATGCAAGTCTGCGTCCAAATGGTTGGAAGATAAGGAGGAAGGACAATCAATACTGAATATAGTCAATGTGAGGTGAAGTGTGTCGCCAAGGTAACCGGTTAGAACTCAAAGTGGCGATGAGGTCTTAAAATGTATGGAAAGGGTCTTAAAAAAGGTCTTAAAAGGGATTCCATTTGACTTCAGGATTCCTGCATGTACCCTGGTACTGTAGTTCCTTTATAGCCTGATGTTAGCGTTTTACTTCTGGACATTACATTTAGGCTTAACCTTTTATAAAAGTGGTGTTAATATGTAGAGATTATCCTGCTGAACAAAACGTGTAAGTATCATAAAGGTGTGATTGCCAAAGATTTCATTTTCTGCTATATTTCAAAATCAAAGAAATTAGCTTTGAGCCCTTTGCAATGCTAAGTTCCTGGTCCATTTACCACTGCACTACTCTATTGTGTTTCTGATTGTCCTTATGTCCCCCTCAGGCAGAGATCATGTCCTTCCTCAGCTGCCCCTCTGCAGAGAAGCTGCTTCAGCTCGGAGAGACGAGGACAAGCGTCCAGCAACAGGTGAAGTCATCTCAATATAAAGGGTCCCAGCAGGATGATTGTTGATCCTGTACAATCTTTAATAACAGATGTTTTAGGATATAATCTGTTATTAAAACGTTCTTCTCTCCAGGTGCATGCGTCGGACCCTCACACGGCGGCTGAAATCCTCCTGAAAATCTCTTCTCTGTACAGTGAGGAACCAGAGACAAGGACAGCCGTGCTTGAAACTATTGGTGAATTCAATCCTACTTTGTATTTGTAGGACGAGGCTTCATCTTTATTAGTTTATAATATTTACACATAGAGGGTGTTTGTCAATGTCGAGGACGCTTGCTTGGTAGCACATGTTTTCCGAGCGTCTTGCTTCAGAAGCGAGGCAAGAATACTTCCTGGCATTCGGAAAACGAAGAGTGGAACAGGCTAGCAAGTGTGCAGGTGTACGTCATATGAGAGGCCCCGTCTTACATTTTCCGCCACAGATTTGGGGAAATTGGTCCGTGCGCAAAGCATTGTGGGGATTTTAAGACCACGGAGTCTACACATGTGCAGCCTCGAAATTTCTCGCTACGAAGTACGCCGGGCTCGGAAGAATTCCAAGTATGCTGGACATTGGGACAGTCCTTCGGCGGGACTCGATGACGTATGCTTGAAATAGTGGCTCTGGAGCAGCCTTACTCGACATTGAGAAACACCCACAGTTTAGTTGGAAACAAGAAAACATCTGTGCTTCACAAACAGTCTTTTTTACTTTTGTCCGTTTTCTGATTTGACCAGTTATTAAAATGTGAACAGTTAGAGTGGAAACATCTCTTGGATTACTTTTCTCCAGGAATTGTATTGAGGAGAAATCTTTGTTTACCTGCTTTTAATCCTACTACCCATTTGTTTTCCACTTGTAGTTCAAATACTGTTGTTGTTGTTGATTGATGTCAGTCTGTATGCACAGACCCCTCCTCTCATTAACTCCCTCACTGTGTGTTTTACAGACGCTGTGCTGAAGAAGCTCCTCTCTGGATCAGACCTCTCGTCTTACTGCTTCCTCTCCACGCTGCTCGTCATGATGGGACTCCTCAAGGTACAAAACGGTCCCTCCCTAAATCTGACACAGACATAATGGGGTTAATGTACCCCAAGACCATTATAGGAAAAGTATCACTAATACAAATCCAGAAAGGGGTAAAAGTAATAATTTCCCAGAGTAATGTCTTAAAGGTCTCCTATCATGCAAAATGCACTTCCTGATGTCTTTTCTACATAACTATGTGTCCCCGGTGTGTCGGGGAACTCACGCAGCGTCGGAAAATAAAACCCTCTCTTTTCCTCCGTACCCAAATCTCTAAAAACGGGGGAACAACGGAGCTGATCCAGATTTGCCCTCCAATATGACGTAATATCTGAAATGTGGACCCACGGCCCAATCAGAAACGTTGCTATCAGAAACAATGCCCAACTGTTTTGGACGTAATATGGTCGGTGTTTACATTAGCATCGCTAACGCTCAGAGCTAACCTGTACTGGAGAGCATGTGTGTGAAGAAGCAGGAAGTAAAAAGGAACTCACCTTGTGGTATACCCGGCAAGAGAGAAAGCCTTTGAGCTCCAAACTGTTTCAGAGATCCATCCATCCATCCATCTTCTCCCGCTTATCCGTGGTCGGGTCGCGGGGGTAGCAGTTCCAGCAGAGAGCCCCAAACTTTCTTTTCCCTGGCGACATCAACCAGCTCTGACTGGGGGATCCCAAGGCGCTCCCAGGCCAGCGAAGAGATATAATCCCTCCACCTGGTCCTAGGTCTACCCCTTGGTCTCTTCCCAGCTGGACGTGCCTGGAACACCTCCCTAGGGAGGCGCCCAGGTGGCATCCTAACTAGGTGCCCGAACCACCTCAACTGGCTCCTTTCGACGCGAAGAAGGAGCGGTTCAACTCCGAGTCCCTCCCTGATGACCGAACTTCTCACCTTATCCCTAAGGGAGACACCAGTTTCAGAGAGAAATCCTTGATAATCCATGATATGGCGTTTCATCACGGCAGCATTTAGTTTAGACAGTAGCTGCCGGGTCCCGCATGAGCTCAGACCCCTCCTTTTAAAAAAAAAAAAGAAGCTTTATACCCAAAATCAGCCCTTTTGAAACAGGAAGTGAAATAGAGGGATATGAGGCATGGCTAGAATGGGTGATCTGTTTGGTATTTTGAGCAAAACACTTCATAGACATGTTTTTTATATATTTGTATATATCTGAGACCTACGCTATTGCCTACAAATAGCATGATAGCTGACTTTTAAAGAGGACCTGTTGTGCTTTTTGAGGTTTTCCCTTTCCTGTAGTGTGTTATCTAAGTTTAGAACAAATGTATGCTTCTTCATGTTTCTATCTGTTCTGACTTCAGGGCGAGGGGAAGGTGAAGAAGGTGCCGCTGGTCCCAGGTCAGCTGTTGTGTTTGGAGCACGCTGTGCAGCAGGAGTATTTCCCGCAGCACGTGGCCTCGCTGCTCCACACCTTCACCTCCAGGTACGAGCTGCTTTAAAACTAATTATTTATTAGTTATTCACATTCCCCTTTACATCCATTAATATTCCAATTTAGATAAACAGTTTATTTGACAAGGGGTCACAACATGTAGAAGGTCTCAAATCCAAGAAATTCAACATACAAAACGTATAGAAATCAAATCAATAATAACACTGAGAACGTAAAGGTATAACAAAAATAAAATAAAAGATGGGTTATATATAAGCCAGGGGGGTCAAACTCAAATACACAGTGGGCCAAAATAAAAAAAATGGGTACTCGTCGAGGGCCGGACTGGTTCAGTGTTTATTGCAACACTTATTGAAATGAACTTGTTGCACATATTAAACCTGGAACTAACAAAGCTTAAATGATTGCCTATAAAAACAACATTAAACATTAAATAATCAGTTGCATTCATTTCTTATGGCTCTATCTGCAGCTTTTCCAGAGTCATTTCTTATGAGTACATTTCCCCACAGGCCAACAACAGCTTCAACAAAACTATTTCCCCTCAAAGAGAAAAACAAACATGCCCTGTTGTCCTGAGAGAAAGTGCAGAAGGAAGCATCCATTGAACTCAGTGTGCTGCTCTGTGATGCTAGCTCAGATACTTGGCATCTCATCTTGGGAGCAAGGTCATCAATGTTTGGGCTCAGGCTCTGAGCGGAGGAGACCCTCAGGATGGAGTGAAGGTGTGCGTGCAATATACCGGCGGGCCAGATCTAATAGTGATTAGATATCATCCTGCGGGCCAGATCTAATACATTTCATTACATTGCATTTAGCTGACGCTTTTATCCAAAGCGACTTACAATAAGTGCGTTCGACCAACAAAATACAAACTTGAAGAAAACAGAATCATATAAGTACATCAGGTTTCATATAGCAAAAACATTTCAAGTGCTACTCAACTGGCTTTAGATAAGCCAGCCCTTTATTAGTATAAAAGTGCTTTGTTAATAGTTCTATCGCTAATAGTAATTAGAAATTATCCTGCGGGCCGAAATGAAATCCACCAAGGGCCTGATTTGGCCCCCGGGCCTTGAGTTTGACACATGTGATATAAGGTCATCCTACATATTACAATAATACAGTCCAATATACTTAGAAAAAAATATCCATGTACTAGAATAGAAATTCCTCATTTTAAAGTAGCCATATTTTATTATGTTGGGGTTTCACACAGTCCAGTTTCCTTTTTAATCCTTCCATTATTAACCCCAGTGTCCTCCTATTACCTCCACCAATGGCGTCCATCTGGTAGGAGCATCTTTGATCCTGCAGTAAATGTGTAAACACAAGTTATTTAAAAGAGTTGGTAACCTTTCTGTACGTTTTGTCTTTGTGAATGTGCAGAAACAGTGAAGCTCTGGAGTCCTGCAGCAGCGCCAGTGAGAGGCTGAGCAGCACTCTGGAGAAAAAGTGCCACTGATGAACACACACACACACACACACACACGCCTTAATGTCTTCGCCAACAGGTTTACACTTGAACAAGGGACACGTACGACCACTTACTGTTTCTCCACTTCTTATTTGTATATTTTATGAACACTGTCCAGAATGTCTTAGTTTTTATTTTTCTACTTAATACTTGTGTCTTATTTTTTACAGTAATAATAAAAACATATTCTAAAATACACACCAGGTGACCTTTGGGTGAATGTGTAAAGAATGTAACCTGGAGCGGAGCTAACATTAGACCAACATCTTGCCGTGCATTTAGTTTCAAACTCTTTCAAATTCACTGTGAAAAGAAACCAACAATGTGTCTTTGTGCGACAGGGAGAGCTGCATCTGCCAAATAGTTTTCTCGATTGGGTTTTTACGGAGCCCGACAGGTGCACATGCGATATGAAAAAAACACAAATGTGCCAAAACACTTTAAAACATTAACCAACTTGACCAAACACAAAGCGCTTTTGCAAGTGTAAGAAAATTGGGAACAAAACAAATATTTAGTTTAATATGAGATAACACAGAAAGCGAGAAACATTCCATCACCTAAATGATTCCTTTAAAAAAGACTTTGAGTTTATTTGACTCTCTATCGTTCCAGCTCTATAGACATAGCTACAGAGAAACATTAAAGTTATTTCCAGGTGTCGATGCATTTGGGATTCGTTCAGCACATTTTGAGGGGAATTGCAGATATTCAGCATCCTGATACTGCCACAAAGTTTGCTGTATTTGAATATGTATATCTTCTCATATGCTGCTATTTGTTGCTGTGAAAACGTAGAGGGAGACGGAAATTAAAAGGGCAATTATACCGAGTGTAAAACGTACAATCACAATTAAGAGCTGCCTTAATTTTGCTGTGTTTTACTGATGAGATGCAATCATTACATAAGGTCCAGTGACATCAGTGTGTATCAGACTGTGAGCAGGAATGAGCTACACACACACACACACACACACACACACACACACACACACACACGAGCCTTAACACACAGCTGCATGTGTGTATACCCTGCACTGATCCCAGTCATAACACTGCACAGCTCAGGGGACCACGATCACTTTTACCTCTTCTTGTTTTTTGTATCCGTAAATATAATTCAAAATGTTCTCTTATGTGACTTTGTGTTGCACCAATTCAGTTGCTTTGTGTTCCCTCAGATATTGGTGTAAGGGAACATTTAAAGGTAATGGGGATTAGGACTTTAAATACTCTTCTGATTAACATTAGACCATGTGGACTGCTTTTTGGTTGGACAGGATAATGCTTGATGTGTTTTAACTGTCAGAAATATAACTAATCCAACAAGCCTGACTCGTCGTCTGTGTATAAATGTGTGTGTGTGGAGTGAATTATACACTGTTGTTTTTGAAGAAAGCTTAAAAAGATTACACGTTCATCCTAAATGGAGAATTTGGTGTAATATTCCTTTAACAGAATCCAGAGGTAGGAGGTGTGTGTTTGTGTCAGAGTAAGGTGGGGGGGGAGGGGGGGGCTGTCAGTGAATGAAGGGATGAACTGAGTTTGTTTTGGATGGGGCCGGGGGAAGCGCAGCAGAGAGCCGAGACCGTGAGAGAGTGAGCGGCCACAGAGCGACCAGGAACCGGACAGAACCAGGAACCACAGCACGGTGAGTCTGTGCGTAAAATGGATTCATTTGTCAACCAACAATAGGGAATTTATGTATTTCAATACATTTATTTGAGTTATTTTGATGGTAGAATATGAATGTTTTGACATAACATGTTATGTTGTAATCCAAATTGCTTATTTATCCAATCATGTGGACAGTTTTATTATGCGCATTTTTGCGTAAAATGCAACATTTTGAACTGTTATCACACTCACTCACTGGCTGTATATTTTCTTGGTTGCCACCTATAAGTCAAAATATAACCAATACAATGTATTTTTCCATATTAGATAATTTTTGCAGGATTTTAACATTCTAAGATATGTCAATAACCATCATCCCTTACCCTTTACGCACAGAAAACTAACACCATGTTTAGAATAGCATTCAGAGGCGTTGGAGAGGAGTTTTCTCTTCGTACCTGGCCAGAGGACCAGAGGGTTGTTCCAGGGGGAAACGCTCTGGCACCACACCGGGCGGAGAGACACTGCGCGTCTTTGTGCGCGCGGAGCGGCGGCTCCTCTGCGGTCGGCTCTGTGTATCCCCGGGGGCACGCGGACAAACAGACCGGTGCAAGGGGAAATTCCTCCGGCTCTAGTTTCTCCTCTTGCCCCTCTTTGCTCCGGGGGTTTGAGGAACACTGTTAAAATACCCAAAAGGCTGCTGTATGGTCAGCGTTGTTTACATGCAGCTTTTAAAGGAACTTCAAATATTCATGTTTGATTAATATATACAATTATATATTGTATTAAATATAATACAACATATTTTCTATGCTCTGATTTACGCTGGATGAGTGCAGAAACATCAACTGTTCATCTAACAAAAGTGGGCGTTTACATTTTTTTCTTCTAACAAAGTCAATTTAAAGCTTTAGTCATATCGCAACAGCTATGTTTGGAAAATAAATGCAATTCAATGTAATACAGGCTCTTCCAACAATGCAACATAACAGAATACCTAAAATATTAAATCATGATAACAATAAATGCAGGTTAAAACAGTATACTGAAATATTGTACACTGTAATAGGATATCTAATATCTATTATATAATATATATTAGGGGATAAACACATAATAAAAGAAAAATAAATCGCATTTTCTATTTTGGGAATGCAAGTTTTGTGCCCTCAAAGCATTGGTAACATTTAGTTTTGTTATGGAGTAAATGACATACATAGTGTGGGGGAAACTTCTGAAGCAATGGGAGTCAGAGAGACACGAGGAGAGCTGGAGCTTTGATGGGAAACAGAAACACTGACGGTTTATTTGGAGCTTCAGCCGGAGAATTCACAAGACATGTCACGGGCCACGGTCTGACCGCACGGCTGAGATGCCACCATCAATTCTGAAGACCCCTTCTGTAGCTCCAGGGTTTAACTAGTTCAGAGTGTGATAATCAACATTCCTCAATAGATATACTGAACAGCTGAGGACACTGAATCACATTTGTTGTCGCTTATGTCTCGGAGTCATCTACTACTCCCCGAGAAGGATGTGTTCCAGGTGTCCCACAGCAATAACTATCTCTGACCGAGAGTTGCCCGGTCACAAACTGGTAACAACAACAAAATGCTAGGGCAGCCCCTTCTTATGGGAGATAACGGGTCAGCTGCGTCAGAGGGCGAAGGAGGACATGCTGGGCAAATTATTCCCCAACACATAGGCTAGTAGAAATATATGCGTAAACACTGATGCAAATAAAACAAAAAAGCCAATTACAAGCCAGAAAATAACAGAAAAAGAAAAATGTAGATAGATAAAACTGATGCACAGACTTGGTGTTTTGCATTAATACAGTCATGGGTCTCCGTCAGCTCCATCTTTTTCAGGATTTGCTGCAGCAGGTTTGAGCATGGCACCGTTTCTCCGTGCCAACATTCGGAGACGTGTGGTGCTGTGCAGCTTTCCCTGTCCATTCCTGCGGATCAGGGCTGTTGATCCGACATGGGAATGTGGTTTTAAGGCATTCCAGTGAAGTCTGGCTCGGCCCAAACTCAGCAAAATAACTCTAATCCCCAAAAAGTACAAAATTATGCAATCTGACACCTTCAATAGAGATTTCAGGCGGTGTAGGCATATCCTGTAGGAGCCCCTAAATGGTTTCCTCTTTATATTTTGATTGTAACGGCATAGGCTACTCAAGGTCCTCTATCAGAAAAGGTATTCAATCACAAGATCCTGCATTAAGATGCTACTTCAGCAAAAATAATACAAGTATTATGAGCTGCTTAAATGAATACAACAATGCCCCCCTGTTACTGAAATACAGGTATTATTATATAGGTCAGTGTTAGATTGTCATTACTTCTGCATTATGTCTAAGTGATTTGCCGCAATGCTTTATTATTATGACACATAGTCTTTGGTTCGGACTCTTTTGTCTGTTTTCTGATATATATATAGGCCACTAACCATGAACTAGAATGCTTATAATTATGTTTATTTGAACTTAAATTGTAATTGTCCTTCCCAGATGTTCTTCCAGATGTGTCCTCACCTCCTCTGCTTCCTGCTGCTGCTCTGCATCCCTGACACACACTCCGCTAAATGTCCTGAGCAGTGTGTGTGTGACCAGATCCAGCTCACTGTGACCTGCAACAGCAAGAACCTCACACACATCCCCCCTACTTTGGATGAGGTCACACACACACACACACACACACACACACACACACACACACACACACACACACACACACACACACACACACACACACACACACACACACACACACACACACACACTATATATATATATATATATATATATATATATATATATATATACACATACACACACACTGCACTTTTCTTGCTAAAATCACAGCTTGCACAACCGGTTTTAATTTAGGAATCAATTATGTTCTTAATAGATCACAGTGAAATTGGATCTGCGTGGTAACGACATCCAGGAGCTTCCCTCCGGGGCCTTCAAACACACACCGTACCTCACACACCTGTCGCTGCAGCGCTGTAACGTCCGCAGGGTGAAGGAGGGGGCTTTCCGTGGCCTCGGACGCCTCGTCTTCCTCAACCTGGCCAACAACAACATCGACATCCTCTACCAGGTCCTCACACACACTCTCACACACACTGCAGGTCCACACACACACTCACACTGTACCAGGTCCACACACACACTCTCACACACACACACTGCAGGTCCACACACACACTCACACTGTACCAGGTCCTCACACACACTCTCACACACACACTGCAGGTCCACACACACACTCACACTGTACCAGGTCCACACACTGTACCAGGTCCTTACACACTGTACCAGGTCCACACACACTGCAGGTCCACACACACACACACACACACACACACACACACACACACACACACACACACACTGTACCAGGTCCTCACAAACTGTACCAGGTCCTCACACACTGTACCAGGTCCACACACACACACACACACACACACACACACACACACACACACACACACACACACACACACACACACACACACACACACACACACACACACTGCAGAACAAAATCATTGTGTACCATCATCTTCAGAATCAGATTCAGGTTTATTGTCAAATAGGTTTACACCAACACACATTGGTTTTATTAAATACAAAATGTGATAATCTGTGCAGTTTTAACATTTGTGAATTCCACTATAATTCAGAAGCATTTCTACACAGTATTGCTCCTCAACTCAAGTCAAATGTCTGTCTCCTTCGTCTAACACATTTTCCTGGCACCACAGTGAAGCTTGTTGTGTTTCTTGATGTGTTCCTTGTGAGTCCAGGAGTCGTTTGACGGCCTGTCCTCGCTGAAGCAGCTCCTGATCGACCGTAACCGGGTGGAGGAGATTCAGCCCGGAGCTTTCTCTCAGCTCGGCTTCCTCAACCTGCTCTCCCTCACACACAACCAGCTGGTGTACATCCCCAACATGGCCTTCCAGGTAACAAACACACCTCAAATATAGACTGTAACACACAGTGAGAAGTTTACACTGTGCTTTCTGCAGCTGCTCAGAAATACAATTAAAGATAGTGGATTGTGTTTTAAATCATTGCAACTGAATCCATACACTTTCTCACTGTATATATTTGAATATTCAGGCTTTTTATTGTTGCAAAATGATGTCCTTGCACTAATCTAATCACAATTGTAATACCTCTTGCACTGTTTGTATGCAGCATTGTTGGACGAGCCTGGGGTTTTATATTTTCATTGACAACAACCTGTTGCGTTGAATACGACAGTCTCTGAATCTTTGAAGCATTACATATCAGACCTCCTTTTCTTCCTCCAGGGCTTGCAGAACATCAAATGGCTTCGTCTGAGTCACAACTCTTTAAATTACCTGGACACGGAGGCTTTGGCCGGGCTGTTCACGCTCACACGTCTCAGTCTGGACCACAACGAGCTGCAGTTCTTCCCCACAGAGACCATGACCAGGTACAGCACGATGCTCCAAATAATAACACTAAATACAGAGGTGGGAAGTCGTGGAGTACAAATACTTTGTTACTCTACTTAAGTACATTTGTCTGGTATCAGTACTTTACACTCCACTACTTATTTACGATGACGTTTTACTTTGACTTCTTACATTTTGAACCCAAATACCTGTACTTTCTACTTCTTACATGTTGAACACAAATACCTGAACTTTCTACTTCTTACATTTTGAACACAAATACCTGAACTTTCTACTTCTTACATGTTGAACTCAAATACCTGAACTTTCTACTTCTTACATGTTGAACCCAAATACCTGAACTTTCTACTTCTTACATGTTGAACTCAAATACCTGAACTTTCTACTTCTTACATGTTGAACCCAAATACCTGAACTTTCTACTTCTTACATTTGAACACAAATACCTGAACTTTCTACTTCTTACATGTTGAACTCAAATACCTGAACTTTCTACTTCTTACATGTTGAACTCAAATACCTGTACTTTCTACTTCTTACATTTTGAACACAAATACCTGTACTTTCTACTTCTCACATGTTGAACACAATACCTGTACTTTCTACTTCTTACATGTTGAACACAAATACCTGAACTTTCTACTTCTCACATGTTGAACTCAAATACCTGTACTTTCTACTTCTTACATGTTGAACACAAATACCTGTACTTTCTACTTCTTACATGTTGAACTCAAATACCTGAACTTTCTACTTCTCACATGTTGAACTCAAATACCTGAACTTTCTACTTCTCACATGTTGAACTCAAATACCTGTACTTTCTACTTCTCACATGTTGAACTCAAATACCTGAACTTTCTACTTCTCACATGTTGAACACAAATACCTGTACTTTCTACTTCTTACATGTTGAACACAAATACCTGAACTTTCTACTTCTCACATGTTGAACTCAAATACCTGAACTTTCTACTTCTCACATGTTGAACACAAATACCTGTACTTTCTACTTCTTACATGTTGAACACAAATACCTGCACTTTCTACTTCTTACATGTTGAACTCAAATACCTGTACTTTCTACTTCTTACATGTTGAACACAAATACCTGTACTTTCTACTTCTTACATGTTGAACACAAATACCTGTACTTTCTACTTCTTACATGTTGAACACAATACCTGTACTTTCTACTTCTTACATGTTGAACTCAAATACCTGTACTTTCTACTTCTTACATGTTGAACTCAAATACCTGTACTTTCTACTTCTTACATGTTGAACTCAAATACCTGTACTTTCTACTTCTTACATGTTGAACTCAAATACCTGTACTTTCTACTTCTTACATGTTGAACTCAAATACCTGTACTTTCTACTTCTTACATGTTGAACACAAATACCTGTACTTTCTACTTCTTACATGTTGAACACAAATACCTGAACTTTCTACTTCTCACATTTTGAACACAAATACCTGTACTTTCTACTTCTTACATGTTGAACACAAATACCTGTACTTTCTACTTCTTACATGTTGAACTCAAATACCTGTACTTTCTACTTCTTCCATGTTGAACTCAAATACCTGTACTTTCTACTTCTTACATGTTGAACACAAATACCTGTACTTTCTACTTCTCACATGTTGAACACAAATACCTGTACTTTCTACTTCTTACATGTTGAACACAAATACCTGAACTTTCTACTTCTCACATTTTGAACACAAATACCTGTACTTTCTACTTCTTACATGTTGAACTCAAATACCTGTACTTTCTACTTCTTACATGTTGAACACAAATACCTGTACTTTCTACTTCTTACATGTTGAACACAAATACCTGAACTTTCTACTTCTCACATTTTGAACACAAATACCTGTACTTTCTACTTCTTACATGTTGAACACAAATACCTGTACTTTCTACTTCTTACATGTTGAACTCAAATACCTGTACTTTCTACTTCTTACATGTTGAACTCAAATACCTGTACTTTCTACTTCTTACATGTTGAACTCAAATACCTGTACTTTCTACTTCTTACATGTTGAACTCAAATACCTGTACTTTCTACTTCTTACATGTTGAACTCAAATACCTGTACTTTCTACTTCTTACATGTTGAACACAAATACCTGTACTTTCTACTTCTCACATGTTGAACTCAAATACCTGTACTTTCTACTTCTTACATGTTGAACACAAATACCTGTACTTTCTACTTCTCACATGTTGAACACAAATACCTGTACTTTCTACTTCTCACATGTTGAACTCAAATACCTGTACTTTCTACTTCTTACATGTTGAACTCAAATACCTGTACTTTCTACTTCTTACATGTTGAACACAAATACCTGTACTTTCTACTTCTTACATGTTGAACTCAAATACCTGTACTTTCTACTTCTTACATGTTGAACTCAAATACCTGTACTTTCTACTTCTTACATGTTGAACTCAAATACCTGTACTTTCTACTTCTCTCATTTTCCAAACAGCTGGTTCCTTTAGTCTGAATGTGTGTTTGATGCGTGATCATTATTCTTTAGAGTCATTGCGTGCCTATTGATTTGAACACGATCCGTGTATCCATCATTTCCTGGTCTTCTCTAAAGAAGAGGGACCAATGGATTGATTGAACATTTTATTAACAGATTGCAGAATGGGTACAGTACAGCTCAAAACACACAATTGTTAAGGGGATGCAGACCAGAAAAAGACTTTCGTCTTGTTTACATCAGGGTCCCCCATTTAATTCATCATAACATATATGACATACATGACATACAGATAGACAGTACTGTTACATCTAGACATTTATGACATACCAGATCTACAAATATACAGTACTGTTTGAATATACAAAGAGTCTAAAAAAAGAGTATATACATTGACGTTGTCATGTTGCTGTTGTTCAGCATGGAAACATTCATTCAATGACATTATTGTTCTATTAATATAAAGGGAGGTCAGGTACTCTTTAAAGCAGCTGCTAGTTATGGGTACTTTCTACTTCTTACATGTTGAACTCAAATACCTGTACTTTCTACTTCTCACATGTTGAACTCAAATACCTGTACTTTCTACTTCTTACATGTTGAACTCAAATACCTGTACTTTCTTCTTCTTACATGTTGAACTCAAATACCTGTACTTTCTACTTCTTACATGTTGAACACAAATACCTGAACTTTCTACTTCTTACATGTTGAACACAAATACCTGTACTTTCTACTTCTTACATGTTGAACTCAAATACCTGTACTTTCTACTTCTTACATGTTGAACACAAATACCTGTACTTTCTACTTCTCACATGTTGAACTCAAATACCTGTACTTTCTACTTCTTACATGTTGAACTCAAATACCTGTACTTTCTTCTTCTTACATGTTGAACTCAAATACCTGTACTTTCTACTTCTTACATGTTGAACACAAATACCTGTACTTTCTACTTCTTACATGTTGAACTCAAATACCTGTACTTTCTACTTCTTACATGTTGAACACAAATACCTGAACTTTCTACTTCTTACATGTTGAACACAAATACCTGTACTTTCTACTTCTTACATGTTGAACTCAAATACCTGTACTTTCTACTTCTTACATGTTGAACTCAAATACCTGTACTTTCTACTTCTTACATGTTGAACTCAAATACCTGTACTTTCTACTTCTTACATGTTGAACACAAATACCTGTACTTTCTACTTCTTACATGTTGAACTCAAATACCTGTACTTTCTACTTCTTACATGTTGAACCCAAATACTTGTACTTTCTACTTCTCTCATTTTCCAAACAGCTGGTTCCTTTAGTCTGAATGTGTGTTTGATGCGTGATCATTATTCTTTAGAGTCATTGCGTGCCTATTGATTTGAACACGATCCGTGTATCCATCATTTCCTGGTCTTCTCTAAAGAAGAGGGACCAATGGAAACGTTGTCATGTTGCCGTTGTTCAGCATGGAAACATTCATTAGCTAACAATGACATTATTGTTCTATTCATATAAAGGGAGGTCAGGTACTCTTTAAAGCAGCTGCTAGTTATGGGTACTTTTTACTGAAGTACATTTCAAAGCCTCTTTACTTTGACTTGAGTAAAGAAGTTTAGTCAGTACTTCTACTTTGACCAGAGTATTTCTAAACATGAGTATCTGTACTTCTACTTGAAGAAAGGATGTGTGTACTTTGCCATCTCTGTAAATAAAACAAACAACTAACCCCAGACTGTTAAAATGCTCTGGTGCAAGTGTCATGCATTGTAACATCTTCAATCTCTGCCTCTCTGACTGCAGACTTCCAGAGGTGACCCGTCTTGACCTGAGCTACAACCCGATGACGTACCTGGGAGAGGAGGTGGTTTCCATGAAGAAACTGACGCACCTCTTCATGGATCACATGTCCCTGCAGGACCTGGACCCCACGGCCTTCTCCAAATCCAGCAAACTGGTGCACCTGGACCTCGGTCACAACCAGCTGAGAGTCCTGCAGCCTTTCTCCGAGGGAACGTCGTCGCTGGCTCGCCTGAACCTGGCCGGGAACCCTCTCTCCTGCAACTGCTACCTGCGTCCTCTCAGGTAAACAAACACTTTAAAGGTCTCCTATTATACTGTTTTTCATCAATATGTCACAGGTCTCAGATATCTACAGAGCCTGTCTCTGATTGGCTGAAACACCAAACAGATCATTGCAGCATTACCCATAATCCCCTCTGTTTCAGCCCTGTTTCCAAAGTGCTGATTCTCTGTCTGTTACTTTAGGGGGGGGATTGTTGGGATGGTTGCTGATTGGCTAATGGTTACACAAGCCAAAGTGACGTCAAAAAGTGGCCAAAAATCATTTTCAGACAGGTTTTTATAGAAATGGATCAGGACAAAAAGAGAGAGAATCTTCTTTCCTGAAACTTTCAGAATCTCTTTCCACAGAGGGGACACATGTTGATGTAGAAGAGACATGAAGAAGAGGGGACACATGTTGATGTAGAAGAGACATGAAGAAGAGGATTTTGTATAATAGATGATCTTTAAAGAGGCCGTATAATCCTTTTGGGTTTTCCCTTTCATGTGTTATTTTTTATTTACATAATGCATTCTTAAAGAGCCTTGTAATCGGGGAGATAAATTACAAAAAAACTGAGATATTTTTTCGGTGTTCTCAGATGCCCTAAAATGCAGAAGCCCTTGCGACCCCACTTGGAGGTTTGGTGACCCCTAGTGGAGGTCAAGAACCATAGGTTGTGAACCAGTCTCTAATGGCAAATTTCCACTGCAGCGGGGTAGCCCTGTTTAAGCGTCCCTAAGCGTCCTCGCTCAGGCCTCGGGCTGCCTCGCTGGCCGTCCGAGGCCGTGGCGCATTTCCATTACAGTTTAGGACCTGGGGTAGCAACGCAGTGTAGGCGGGGCGATCGGCTTTGTTTTCCTCACATTTCGAGTTGTTCCGTCGAGCTCCCGCTGGATTTGATCATCCCCAATGAGATGTAGGAACGTCGTCACCTCCTCGGTCGACCACGGTGTGCTTTTCTTTGATGTTGCCATTTTTGTAGCTCCTCCGTTTACAAAAATGAAGTGTATACAAATGCTGCAAGCTTGCTTCTAGATATATAGGCCTATGCGACGCTAGGGATGATCTCACGCGCAATCTTGTGACGATTCTCTCTGACCAATCAGCAGTCGAGAGTATTGACGTCTCTAGTTCAGCCCTGGCCTGATAGAACCACGATTTTATGGGGCCGGGAAAAGAGGGAAAAAGTACCCGCTAGCCGGTGCTACGCTATATGGAAAGGCCACCAAAAACTGGCCTGGCCGCTTGAGGACGGTTAAGGACGCTTAAACGGGGCTACCCGCTGCAGTGGAAATGCCGCAAATGCGCCATATCTGTATGTTGAATTGATGAAGAATTGGTCCTCAAACCTCAGGGTTGTCTTAAAACCTGGTAGAAATTGGACACACTGATACATAACGCCTTTAGTTTTTCATATTTAGCCTCCACTTTGCTGTTTTACATGTCTGTATTTTTGACAACCCCTTTGTGATTATATGTTTAATAGAATCTAAGTAAATAAGGATAATGTACATCTCTGTATGCAAATTCTACTATTGTTAACCATAATTGAACCTCTTTCTATTTGCTAAAACAAAGGACTAAAGACTAAAGCCAATAAGCCAATTACATGTCATTTAGCCATAAAAATGTGAACACTCGTAAAATGTAATTAATTGACGGATAGTTAAGCAGCTGTGTTTCCAAATTGACCTTAATAAAAGGATCCACCATATTACCATTGAAATTATGTATATGTTATTATAAATATAATAACAATATAAATGTTATTGTCTATATGTTAGGAATTATACAACATACATTGTCATACAGATCATTGTTTATTTAGCTGTTAGATGGGAAGAAAAAAGGTGTAAGAAAAACGTTCTAATAAAGGTTTGAAAAAAAACTGGTCCAAGTGCTTTTCAGCGGTTGCCTAGCAACGGTTGCAAAGCCGCGTAGGTGGGCGGGGTTTAGGGATCGTTCAGTGCAGGGGTGCACATAACTTTTTTGCCCTGGTTCTCAAAGGAGCACCTGGAGATGTTGCTTGGTGCTCATCCTTAAAATGAAATAAACCGTAACTTTTGAGGGGGTCTTGACTTTATTTGCCAGACACACGGCACTGAACACACATGCAGAGGTGAACACAGAACACACATGCAGTGGTGAACACAAGACAACATTAGCACGACCAGTAATACAAGCTGTCATCACTTCCCTCCTGACTGTTCTCCTCACTGTCTTCCTCTCTGTCAGACATGGTAGCTGATGATGTAGGCCTACTTCTTTCTCTCTGGTTGAGTCTGCGATTAGCTGCTTGCATCCACAAGTCAACAGCTGGGTTTGGGTCGAAAAAGTGGATGTAATCAAATAAGTATGTGAACATAACCAATAACCTACCATAGCCAATAACAAATTAATGTAACTTCTTTTATTTGTGTTCATTCATATCTTATTTTACCTTAACATTTATTTATTTATGCATTTTTTTTTTATCTGTCCAGTTTTAAAGGATATTTTTGGTTACTGTCCTATAGTATACATTGGAATGATTTCAAACTTGTTTATCCCAATAATTACAAAGGAGTGCCTTGGAAATATGTGTTTACATAAATTGTGACCAAACAGTTTGAACTTAGACTAAGAGTCCTTTACCTCACTGAGCTGTAGTTAACTTATCAGCCTCTCAGTCTGACTGGAGAGGACTCTCCCTCCACATTATTGTAGAAACATCTTCTTCTTATCTCCGTTAGAGCAGCTAGCACGGCACCAGATTATAATAACAACAGCGCTGGTACCACCCTCCCTCTCTCCCTCGCTCACTCGCATTTTGTCTGTGAGCTGCGGGCGCCAGATAAGCCAACATCCCCCATTTTCATCACTTACAGCGCCCATCGTACAGGGCAAATTAAAGGTGGAACCGGGGTGAAAAGGGTGTTACATTTACTTAATTGTTACATTAAGGCCGAAAATTAGGATGAGCCCCAACGGTCAAAATGTTTTTTTCCCTGCCAGAACTGCCAGCGCAGCACCTCTCCAGATCTGGCGCCCTAGGCGAACATCTAGCCACTGCTACGGGCCGGCCCTGAGTTCATATCATGGTTCATATGCAACTCGCAAATATCTTTCTCTCTCTCTCTCTCTCTCTCTTCTCTCTCTCTCATCTCTCCTCTCTCCTCTATTTTCTCTTCTCTCTCTCCCTCTCAATGTTGGTACGCAAATGCGCTTTGTTTCAAATGACCCGGTGCTCTTTTTTTGGCGGAGGTGCGCATGCGCACCTGCGCACCAGTTATGTGCAGCCCTGGTTCAGTGCCTCGATGACGTCAGAGATGACATCATGTTCAAGGCAAGGCAAGGCAAGTTTATTTATATAGCACTTTTCAACACAAGGCAATTCAAAGTGCTTTACAAAAAACGAAAGACATTAAGAAAATGGCATTTAAAATCAGTCATTAAAAAGAAAAGATAATAAAATAAACATTAAAAGAAAAAATACATGGATAAAAGTTACAGTGCAGTCTAAGATGTGAATAGTTCAATTAAAAGCAGCGACAAAAAGAAAAGTCTTTAGTCTGGATTTAAAAGTAGTCAGAGTTGCAGCGGACCGGCAGGTTTCTGGGAGTTTGTTTCAGATATTTGGAGCATAATAACTGAACGCTGCTTTACCATGTTTAGTTCTGACTCTGGGGACAGAAAGCTGACCAGTCCCTGAAGACCTGAGAGATCTGGATGGTTCATCATTTAGCAGGAGGTCAGAAATGTATTTTGGGCCTAAACCATTCAGTGCTTTATAAACCAGCAGCAGTATTTTGAAATATATTCTTTGACACACAGGAAGCCAGTGTAAAGACTTCAGAACAGGAGTGATGTGATCCACTTTCTTAGTGTTAGTGAGGACTCGAGCAGCGGCGTTCTGAATCAGCTGCAGCTTCCTAATAGATTTTTTAGTGAGACCTGTAAAGACACCATTGCAGTAGTCGAGTCTACTGAAGATAAAAGCATGGACAAGTTTTTCCAAATCCTGCTGTGACATTAGTCTTTTAATCCTAGATATATTCTTTAGGTGATAGTAGGCTGATTTAGTAACTGTTTTAATGTGACTGTTGAAACTCAGGTCAGAGTCCATGACTACACCTAGATTTCTGGCTTTATCTGTTGTTTTGAACATTGCAGACTGAAGCTCAGCGCTAACTTTTATACGTTCTGACTTGGCTCCAAAAACCATTACCTCAGTTTTATCTTTGTTTAATTGGAGAAAGTTCTGACACATCCAGTCATTGATTTGTTCAATGCACTTACTCAGTGTTTGAATTGGAGCATAGTCTCCTGGTGAAATTGTTACGTAAATGTGTGTGTCATCCGCATAGCTATGGTAACTTATTTGGTTGTTTTTCATTATCTGAGCCAGTGGTAGTATGTAGATGTTAAAGAGAAGAGGCCCCAAGATGGAGCCTTGAGGAACCCCACATGTCATATTTGTCAACTCAGATTTGTATTTACCTATAGAAACAAAGTTGTTTCTGTCCTTTAAGTAGGATTCAAACCAATTCAGAACTGTTTCCGAAAGTCCCACCCAGTTCTCCAGTCGGTCTAGTAATATGCTGTGGTCAACAGTGTCAAACGCAGCACTGAGATCTAATAATACTAACACTGAAGTTCTGCCACTGTCTGTGTTTAAGTGGATGTCATTAAAGACCTTTACAAGAGCAGTCTCAGTGCTGTGGTTTGGACGAAAGCCTGACTGGAACACATCAAAACAGTTATTTAAATGCAAGAAATTACTCAACTGTTGAAAAACAACTTTTTCAATGATTTTACCTAGAAATGGGAGGTTTGATATTGGCCTGTAATTGTTCATTACTGAAGCATCTAGATTATTATTTTTTAAGAGCGGTTTAATGACTGCAGTTTTCAGGGCCTGTGGAAAAATACCTGAGTGAAGAGATTTGTTTACTATATGAAGTAGATCTGAGGCCATGCAAGGCAAAACATCTTTGAAAAATCCTGTTGGAATAATATCAAGGCAGCAAGAGGAGGA